ATTGACAAAACTGGCTTTGTCTGACTTTGGATTATGCTGTTTTATCTTGGTCATACTACCTGTCAGCCCCTGGTAAACAGTGACAGAAATCTTCTGAACTAGGCTGAGGCCCAGTCAAGTACGGACAAACGCATGTATCTCTTATCTCGCTGTGGTCTCATTTTTCTGCTTGTATGCCCTAGTCTTAGCTTGTTTTGAGAACGGTGCTGCATCTCGTGTCTCAGCCTAGGGAGGTCTGGTCGATTGCATGTTTTCTCAGAGACAGCTGGGCGCTTCACAGGGTGTGGTTCCCCCTCTCTGTCACCAGGATAATTCTCCACATCTCCCAGTACAGATGGAGAATGTAGAAATTAATAATTCACAGTATGTGTATAAGTGATGATCCTTCCTAGGCTGAGACATATTTGCCTTTTGTTCAAAAAACATCTTGATGAAGAGAGGCCCGGTGCTGAGCTAGGAGTTACAAGTAAGGAAACTGGAAATAAAATAAGTACAAAAATAAAGAAGACAGACCTAAATTGTCAGCAGTCAGCAGCTCGATAACCTTTTCAGTGCTCCTTGTACTGGGTAACGTTTGGATAGTAGACTAGCAGAAATCTGTACTTACACTTATGTTCGTGTGATTTTGTAGGACCCAGAGGTCTTATTTGTGTTTGTATTCATAATTAAGTTTATGTTCAGCCCATGGTTGGTGCTGGGGAGAAGAAATCAGGATGCTCTGTGAAATACCCTCTTTGCCCTCTCAGGAGAGAGGAGGAAATGAGTATTCTTTCTGCCTCTTGGTTCTAGGCAGATAAAGCTTTGCCCATTAGAAAATAACTGGAACCTCCTGTTTAATCTGGTTTCCTCATGTGGAAGCAGTAAATAACTGCATCTGGGGAGAAGAGTTCTGAATAATGTTGTGGGGCCTTCAGTTGCACTGGCTCCAATTGAAGAGCAATGGGGTTTCATCTGTCTTGGATCATCTGAAAGTTATTATTCTTCAGAATAATGATTAACTCTATTTGTCTGTGAAGTGTATAATATATGTTTTGAAATGTAGTTTTGAAATGACTTAAAAATATCACTTACCCGTTAGTTTTAGTTTTAGGACATAGTTCTAGCACATTCCTTCTCTTCCTCTCTGATCCTCATACCTGAAGTCAGTGATGGCAAAAGAACATCAAGCCTTGGGTGTCACTTTTCTTTGGGGTAGCTGTTGAGTTTAATATCTCAGTATTTCACATGACGCTGTTTAACATGTCTTTGAGTGTTATAAATGCTAAAAGATGAAATAAGAACATTAGAAAAGCTATTAAATGGGCTTATAAAACTACACATCCCTGTAATCTGATGAAAGAACTCTACCTATAGAGATTTTCAACTATGCAATTTTTTTCCAGGTTTTCTTTATTTTTCCTAATGTAGCTTATTAGCTTTTAGTCAGATTAGGTATAAATAAATAATTATCCTTTGTCTTAGAGGTGAAGTCATTTGGTAACTACACAGAGCACACTTAATGTTAGTCACACCTCCATTTCCTTTCTAATGGATGCAGTAAAGATAAGTGCTTTATTCATAGATTTAAGTGCATAAAGCCGAAGCTCTGTGAATGAAATTGCTTATCATGTAACAGTTTGATTTTCCGTAAGTTAGTATTTTCTTTAGAAAATACTAAATTATGGGAAAACTGTTGCTGCTTTTTATTTGCTAAAATCAGGAATACATCTTCTCTGGACTTTTCTTAGACTCATGATGAGTAAGAGGAGACCAGGTCTGGTTAGTAAGCATCACCAAATTCCTGTGAGAGAAAGATCTGTGTAGAAATAGGATTGGTGTGGAGAAAAATGTAGTGATAAATTTACTGTGTAGATGGGTAATAGAATTTCGTTCAATCAACGTTGAACTCTGACCTGAAAGACCTGTTCTCAGTTTAATCAAGGTAGAAAGTGAGTTTCTGTAAGTGAAGAACCTATATTAGATATTTTGTAATATAGGGTACATTTAGGGTCTATATTTTTTCTACTAAGTTATGGTTATTTTTTCTATTCCATATTTTGAAATTAATGAACTTGGAGAAAGTGGAATCCGTCTTTCAAAGTCTGTAGGATATATGTTTATAAACTTATTCCCAACAATGATTGGTACTAAAAACATAGGAGTTTTGTAGCTTTCTAGGGTTCCCATTGAGGTAGCGAGGAATAGGAGCGTTGTCTCCTGAGGTCTAAATTGTCAAGAAAGGGCCAAGAGTGGAAGAGAGTAAGAACTTCATTGCCCTCATTACTGTGAGTTGCTCTCACTGCGGGAAAGTACCATCTCCTCTGAAGAACTTAAGAATTGTTTAGATGGATGGAATCCTTTTGAAATAGTTAGATAATAGCCGTACAGGACCCTGTTGTGGGAATTCATCTTTTTCTAACATAAATTTCAGTAATATGTATCTCATATATATGTAAATGTGCAGACAAATAATTAATGCATTAAAAAGTAACTTTCAAATACAGATGTCAAAATTTGAAAATAGTGACTGAAATCTGGGTCTCAGCTCTAATGTACAAGGAACATTTTTAAAAAATATATATTTACTGTTTTCTGGTTCTGGATTGGAATCAGTGAATTCGATCATGAGATTAGAAGAAACGGGTTCAAACTTGAAAAAGTAACTGGACCTTACTTAATTCATGAAATTACCAATTGATTGCCTGGTTCTCCAGTTATTCATGTAAAAATATCCATAAAGTAGGGTAGAATTATTAGTAATGTCATCACTAGTTTCATTAATATAGTTCTGTTATTAATGTAAGACTTGAATCCTTTGCTGAAAATGTTTTTGAGTTAGTATTTCCCTGCATAATTATTTCAGTTATCAATTGCTGCACAACAAACCACCCCAAAACTTGGCGGCTGAAAGCAACAACTAAAAGCATTTTAGTGTCTCTTACAGATCTGTGCGTTGACTGGACTCAGCAGGGCACTTTTTCTGGCCTCTTTTATGTGTTGCAGTTGGACAGTTTCTGGCACTGGAGTCACCTGGAGGCCCCGCTCCTTCTCTTTGGGGTCCCAGGGCCTCTCCTTTTCCCATGGCCTTTTCACAGTCTCTCCTCCTTAGTGGCTTGGGGCTCACAGAAGCAATCATTCCAAGAGGAAGGAAGCAGAACCTAGCAGACATTTTGAAGATGAGGCCTGGTCTGGCGTGGCGTTAACTCCCGCTGCATTCTACTGTCTTCAGACCTGCCGAGTTTCAGCTTGGGAGGGGACAAGGGAATGAGGCTGGCTTTCTTGGGGGCTATTATTAGAGATGAACTACATAGCCATATGCCTTAAAATACTTCATTTTAGACTATTTATGTTAAGTATATGCTGGCGAGTTTGAGCTTCAATTCTAGGGTTAGTCAGTAGCACTAACCAAGAATTTCTACAGGAGATATAACCGGCCAGCAGTACATACAAAGGGCTGTGTTACAGAGGCTGCCACTAGAAGCACTTTAGTTATTCAAATCTTGATAAAAACTAGGTCAGGCAGTTGGATGTCTCTTGGCGGGGGAGGGGCATCAGGCCCACAGGGACAAGGAGGCTTTCCTGGGCAGGAGCTAGGTGTAGTGGAGTCCTCTATTTGGTTCTGCCTGCCCATCCCTGTCTCCAGGCACAGACGGGAAGTCTCAGGCTTTGAGGGGAAGGACAGCACTTCCACTGGTTGGGTAATGTTGGGTGTGGGGGGTATGGATAGGGGAGGAGTTCTCCCATTCAGTCCTCCCTGCTGATAGTCCTAGATATAGTGAATGTCAACCACTGAGGCCTCAGGGACCTTGGAGATCATCAAGTCTAACCTCTAACCCTTGAACTTAATCCTCTCTCACTTCCTCCAGCGTGTTCATCAGCAAGCTAGAAACAGAACTCCGCTTTTTTTTCCATTAAGTATCAGAAGTAATTGCTTCTCCTTTAGAAGCTGCCTTGAGTGAGTTCACACATGGTCCCCCAGATTTCACTGGCCGCACTGTCATTGTGTCGTTGCAGAACGTGCACATAGAAGCCTTCACCAGCTGAAAAGTGCCCTGAAAGAAGGTGATGTCACTGTTGGGGACGATGCACTGGATCCTTCTTTTAGCGCCAGTGGAGGAAACGAGGACGCTGCAGCCGCCTGGCATGAGCTGCAACACAGCCATGCTGGTGAGTACGAACGTCAGTCCTCAGTCCTGGCCGGGAGACGCACCGCGACTTCTTCAGGCTCCATCTGTCCTCCACTCTGCTGCTGGGATTTTATTCGCGACACACAAATCAGCTAACATAATTCCCTGGCTTAATTTTTACCTTTGACTTCGCAATACCTATAGGCTGAAGTCCGAAATTCTTGGTACATTATAGCAATATTTCCTTAAGATGGCTCCAGGCTACCTCTCCCGCCTCATTTTTCTATCCTGCTCTCAGCCGTCTTGCAAGCCATGTTCTAGGCAGACCAACCTGCTGGCCATTCTCCTATGCTTTTGCATGTGCCGTGCCTTCTGCTGGACTTTTTCTTACCCTTTTCTGCTTCGTGATCTCCTGTTCATCTTTCACAGTGTTATTGCCTCGTGAAAACAGGCACGATAAGGTGCTTCCTCTTCTTGCACCGCTATGTATGGCTCTAGGTCTACGTACAAACTTATGACATTGTTTTATATCTATTAGTGAAAAAATTCTTAGCTCTTAAGTGGTAGAGATTTTCTCATCTTTGTCTTTGCATCCCCAGTCAGTAGCACAGTTCTTGATGCATAATATGTATTTCAATGATATTCGTTGGATGGATAGAAGGATGGATGGGTGATGATAAATCATGGGTCTCAAAGTTAATAAACCCATTGCCTTTGCCCTGTAGTTAATCAGCTCAAAGCTTTGTTGCACCAACAAGCATCGAAGGAAAGTGAGGTATCTCCATCAAGAAGACGTAAAATGTCCCCTTTGGTAAGTATCAACATTTGCATTATTTTTCTAACTATATTTTAATAAGAGTGTCATTTTAGTAGTACATGTTGTAGACAAATTCTGAGCAGGGCATTCTAATAGTATAAGCCTTAAAAGAAATGACCTTTTCTCTGATTATTTTGGATGAAGAAAAGAGATTTATCTACAGTAGACGGAATCCTGATTTTTACATTTATTATTTACTTGAAAATGTGAGTGAGGAAATAGTTTGGAGAATTTACTTCACCACTGTTAGCAAACATAAAAAAAGGAACAAAATGTGGAAATGAGTAGCCATTTCTCTTTTAGAGGTTTATATCTGTATTTGATCACTTTTAGAATTTACTTAATTATAATTCTAGCAGTCCTTTGTAATACTCTTTTATTATGAATGTCAAAACCAAGTGCATAATATTATTCTGCATTTTAAAATATGTGGTTGTAAAATTGTGCGATACAAAAAGTTACACTTTATTTCTTCTGAAGTTGTTTTTTATTGCTATGGCTTCGATAGTATATTCTTGATTGAAGCCATGTCATATGCTAAGGGCTAACTAAGGTAGGTGTGAAGGAAGGATAGGTATCAGGAGGAGGTGGGAGAGAAAGATTTGGCCAGGTTTAAATGGCCTAAATGATAATGTAGGCCTTAGGTCTGTCTAGGGTACATCACATAGTCTCTAGAAGGATATTATGCTTATCTCATAGGAGTTTTGTAATAATAAGATAAGATTATATATTTAAAGTTCTCTGGAAACCTATGAACAATGACACAGATATAGCACATCATAGCAGTAATAACTACCTTGCATTTTCCGTGTATGTGACAGTTGGATACCAAGGCTGTGTGCCGGAAACCATGGAGACACGACACTCCCCTTTACTCACAGCTAAAACGTCGTAACTGTACCCCCATATTAACACTTCATTCCGGCCTGACATATACTTTCATGCTTAGTTCTCACTTTATAGAAACGCACTTCATACTCCTATTTCACATTTATAAGTGTAAATTATAATTTCAATAAAACATTTCATCGTTCAGCGAATTTATTACCGTTGACGCCTAGTTTCTAGATCTTAAGCACACACTAGGCAGAGTACTTTTCAATCTATTAGAGGAAGTTGCTCAGACATGCTTATTAATATTTTAAAGATAAAACTGAGCAGTGCCGTCACGAGCTGATTGAATCCAGATCGTCAAGAACATCACGTCAGGATATACTATACATACTTTACAGACACACAGGTCTGTTTATACGGAGCTATGTGAAAGAATGGAGCTTAGCCTCCAAATGTGTACAGCCTACATCTAATGATTACAAGCCATAATAAGTAGCTTTTGAAGATTGTATCCTTTAGAATGCACGTTTCATAGCTAATATGACAGATCAGAAATATGTGGCCGTCTTGAGAGTGAAAGGGAGGCACTGTTGGGATGGAAAATATATCTAGGTATTACTGTTATTTCAAAATGTGGATATCCACACTATAATAGGCCCTCTAACGTCTATACGAATGATCTTATCTGAACATTTCCACTCAGTATTAGCTATTCTATTTTTTACACAGACTATCTCTTCTATACACATAGTAAGTAATACTTAATTCATATTTGCCTATATTCTGGACCCATTTCTATTAATATAAATGACTATAATTAACTGCTTTCTATTCACCAGAGATAATTCATTTAATTAAGTTATTTCGATTTTTACATTTCTTAAATGTGCCAAAAAGCAAACATCTACTTAATTATTCAGCCCCGATAGCCGCTTTTTGTTTTTGCAATTTCTACTGGACTGAGAAGCAAAACGATTGTGTGTCTCATCTGAAGCTTTCCTGTGGGTTCGCTTAACCGCTTGAGCCTCATTTTCCCTTTTCCTGAGTTTCTCTTTTTTTTTAATATCATGGTATGACATATAATTTTACAAATTTTACAATCCTGTTAGGGTAAGGTTAAGATATACATTAAAAGTCAGTTCCAGAAATGCTGCAGACGTGACCTGAATTAACACTTTTTCTGAAGTTTCTTCATTGGACCCCTCAGGGCAGGCAGGGCACCTCTCAGATTCGTGTGCATCCTCTTTGCTAACGGACCCCTGTGAGATGATAGGAAACATACACATTGGTCCCTGCCCTCGATTCCTGGCTCAGAGCTCCTAAAACCCTTGTAAATTCCTAACTGATAAGAGCACTAGAAGCATCTTTTGTTCAAATGAGGTGACTCTAGGTGGGCTCCTGAATGGCTTCTGTGTGGGAGCTGGTCACCAGAAATACCAAGCCGTGATTAGAAGCTTGGAATTTTAAGAGAGGAAAGAGGGGCTGGAAATGGAGTTTATCACACTCACGTGAGGAAGCCTCTCTAAAGTCCCTCTAGTACAGGGTTTGAAGAGTTTCCAGGTGGGTGAACACCCCTAGGGACCAAGAGGGTGACACACTCCAACCATACAGCGGCAGAAACTTCTGCACTCAGGACCCTCCAGACCCCTCCTTGTGCTTCTCTTCATCTGGCCATTCATCCATATCCTCATCGTGTCCTCTTATAAACTGTAAACTTAAATATTTCCCTGAGTTCTGTCAGCCGCTCTAGCAAATTCATCAAACCCGAGGCGGTCATGGGAACCTCAGATTTATAGCCGATCAGTCAGAAGCACAGGTGACAACCTGGACTTGTGATTGGCATCTGAAGTGGGGTGGGACTGTTTCGTGGGCTGAGCCCTTAACCTGTGAGATCTGGTGCTGTCTGTAGATAGATAATGTAAACTTCGAGTCAAGTGCAAAGACACGCAGCTGGCATAACAGAGAGACCCCTTCTTCCCCCCTGCCCCCCGCACACATATTCGGTGACCAGAAGTGTCAGAAGCGAAGTGTACTCTGTGAAAGTAAAGGAGATACGCAGGAGGGAAAAAGTGGGTTTTTCCTACTCAAACCCTTTGAAGATGGATTTTACTCATTGACACACACTTGGCATCAAACACTTGTCTAAAACATCCCTTCATCCGCCAGCAGTTCTGCAGCTTTAGCCGGCACTCCTCTTCCATGGCGCTTTATTGAAGAGAGATGTCCCTTTGCCTCAGCATAACTGAATGAGATGTCACACTTTCAGAGGGCTCAAATAGGCAGTTCCTCTCAAGCCAGTTATACTACCCCAGCATCTTTCCATTTGCCATGTGTTTTTCGTAACCACTTTCACTTTCCATCTTTAAAAAATGATGTTCATGTTCCCGAATTTTACCTATTTGTGGAATTTATAGGATAGTGAAATAAATGCTATTAGCCACGTTGTGATCTAGTCTATGTTTGTATGACATCAATGCTAAATTGGGGATGGAGATGATATTAATTGATTCTTTGCTTAATCCAAACATGCTTCATTTGTCGTTGTTTTTCCCCTTAGGGGTCATCAGAATATGAGGAAACCAATATGCCTACTGTACATAATCTTGTCCCTATTATCAATGACCAGTCTCAGTACATTCATCATTTAGAGGCAGAAGTCAAGTTCTGCAAGGTAAGTTTCTCATTAAAAACTTAAACCTAACATAGTGAAAGCTTATATTAATGATACCTTGTATGAAATTTAGCCATTATAAGCCTTCATGTTGATAGCCATACAGTGACAGTTGCCATGCTTGGAAAGACTGATATGTATCAGGTGTGGGAATAATATACCCTTGAACATACCATTTCTGATTGCTTGATTTCCCAGTAGTTCATAACTAAACTATGTCTAATATTTTGATAATATAATCTCATGTTTTAGAATTTTTCCTTTCCACCCATTTACTTTAGCTTAGCTGATGGCAAAGTCTTTAGAATAGTAACACTGATCATTCTCCCACGACTGCTGACCTAGCGAAGCTGGCGTGCAGCAAGCAGAGATTCTAAGCTGCTACACTAAACCTGCTCCATTGTCAGTATAAAGGTTCTTACTTTGACTTTGAATGCTAAGAGTGGCTCATGGGGACATTGATAGTAATGATCAAGATACCAGATGTGTCACTTACGGTTCGTAGCGCTGGACAGTTATATATCACTCGATCATTGGAAACCTCTGACTTCCCAAAATATATTAATGTTATAGTTTTTCTTCCTTTCTTTTGTTTTTCTATATCAATGCATCAGATCATGTGATATTTTATAGTAGTTACTGATATCTTTTTGTATCATATCCTTGCCCCATTTGGTGGTGTCAGTGTTTTGGACTTTAGAGTGTAGTGGTATCTCATTGTTTGAATTTCAATTCCCCGGTGACATTTAAACTGTTTTCATATGCCTATTTTCCATTTATATACCTTCTTTATGAGGTAGCAGCTCTGGTCTTTTGCTCATTTTTCAATCAGTTTGTTCATTTTCTTATTGTTGAGTTTTAAGAGTTCCTTTTTATGTTAGATACCACTCATTTATCAGATATGTCTTTGCAATTTTTTCTCCCAGTATGTGGTTTGTCTTTTGATTCTCTTAACAATGTCTTTCACAGAGCAGAAGATTTTTATTTTAATAAAGTCTAACTTATCAAGTTTTTTCTTTTATGGATTGTACTTTTGGTGTTATATCTAAAAATTATCACCAAACCCAATATTTTCTCTATTCTTCTTCTAAGTGTTTTATGATTTTGTGTTTTACATTTAGTTTGATGCCCCAGTTTGAATTAGTTTTTGTGTAAGATATAACTGTGTCTAGATTCATTTTCCTTGGGTGTGGACATCCAGTTGTTCCAGCAGCATTATTGAAAGGCTGTCTCCATTGAATTGCCTTTACTGCTTTGTCAAAAAACAGTTGACTGTGTCTGTCAGTCTGTTTCTGAGCTGCCTGTTCTGTTCCATTGATCTGTCTGATCTTTTGCAAATACCATGCTGTCTTGGAGTTTTATATTTTATAGTAAGTCTTGACGTCAGTATCAATCTTCTAACTTCATTCTTCTTCAATATTGTGTTGGCTCTTTTAGGTCTTTCACCTCTCTTTATGAACTTTAAAATCAGTTTGTCAATATCCGCAAAATAACATGCTGGGATTTTGCTTGGGATTGTGTTGAATCTAGAGTTAAAGTTGGAAAGAACTGATAACTTGACAATATTGTGTTGTCCTATCCATATACATGGAATATCTCTCCATTTATTTAGATATACCTTGATTTCTTTATCAGAGTTTTGTAGTTTTCATCATGTAGATATTACACATATTCTCTGAGGTTTATACCAAAGTATTTCAGTTTTTGGTGTTAATGTAAATGGTATTATGTTTTTAATTCCAAATTCTAATTATTTGTTGCTAATATATGACTTTTGTGTATTATTTAACCTTGTAATCGGCAGCATTGCTATAATCACTTATTAGTTCTCGCAGTTTTTTTGGTTTTTTTTTTGATTCTTTGGGATTCTCTTCCTAGACATTCATGTCATCTGTGAACAAAGAAAGATTTATTATTATCGTTATTATTATTATTATTATTTCCTTCCCACTATGGATAGCGTTTATTTCCTTTTGTTTTGTTGCATTAGCTAGTACTCCTAGAATGATATTGAATAACAGTGATCAGAGGGAACATTCTTGCCCTGTTCTTGATCTTAGTGGGAAACCATGTATTGTCTCATCATTAATATCAAAATGATGTTAGCTATAGGTTATTTGCAAATGTTTTTCAAATTGAGGATGTTTCCCTCTCTTCCTAGTTTGCTGAGAGTTTTTATCTTGCATGCTACTAGATTTTGTCACTTGCTTTTTCTGCATTATTGATATGATCATAAGATTTTCTTCTCTGTCTTGCTGATGTAATGGATTTTCAGATGTTGATTTTCAGATGTTGAACCAGCCTTATATACATAGAATAAATTTCTTCTCTGTCTTGATGTAATGGATTTTCAGATGTTGATTTTCAGATGTTGAACCAGCCTTATATACATAGAATAAATTCCTCTTGGTCCTGTTGTATAATTCTTTTTATACATAGTTAGATTCAAGTTGCTCATATTTTGATGAAGATTTTTTCATGAGATATACTGGTCTATAGTTTTCCATTCCTGTAATGTCTTCATTTGCTTTGGATATTAGGGTAATACTGGCTGAAATGAGTTAGGATGTATTTCCTCTAGTATTTTATGGAAAATATTGTAGAGAATTGGTAAAATTTGTTCCTTAAATGTTTGGTAGAGTTCACCAGTGAACCAATAGTAGGCCTGGTGCTTTCTGTTTTGAAAGATTATTAATTACTGATTCAATTTCTTGAATAAATGTAGGCCTATTCAGATTATCTATTTCTCCTCCTGTAAATTTTAGTAGATTGTACCTTTCAAGGAACTGGTCCATTTTATCTAGATCATCAAATTTGAGGGCATAGAGTTGTTCATAATATTCTTTCTTATCCATTTAATAATATCCATGGGATCTGTAGTGATAACCCCTCTTTCATTTCTAATATTAGTAATTTGTGTCTTCTCTCTTTTTTTTATTTAGCATGGGTAGAACTAGCTTTTATTGCTATTCTCTATTGATTTCTACTCTAATTTTTATTATGTCATCTTCTTCTACTTCAGATTTAATTTGCCTTTTTTTTTTTTTTTTTTTTTAGTTTCCTAAACCAGAAGCTTAGATTATTGATCTGGAATTTTTCTTCTTTTCTAATGTTTTTCATTGATTTTGCTGCATCTTACAAATTTTGATAAGTTATGTTTTTATTTTTATTTTGTTCAAAATGTTTAAAAATTTCACTTGAGACTTTATCCTTGACCAACCCATAAGTTATTTAAGAGAATGTTATTTAATCACCAAGTAAATTGGGAGTATTCTAGCTCTCTTCCTGTTACCGATTTCTAATTTAATTGTATTGTGGTCTGAGAACATACTTTTTATTTCTATTCTTTTTAATTTAAGATGTGTTTTTAGACCCAGAATGTTAGTATGTTTTGGTGACTATTCTGTGTTAGCTTGAGGAGAATGTGTATTCTGTTGTTGTGGGATGAAGTCTTCTATAAATGTCAATTATATCCTGTTGATTAATGGTTTGTTGTTCAGTTCAACTATGTCCTTACTGATATTTTGCCAATTTGCCAGATTGGCTAGATCTGTCAATTACTCATAGAGGGGTGTTAAAATCTCCAGTTGAAATAGTGGATTCATTTGTTCCTCTTTACAGGTCTATTAGTTTTTGCCTCATGTATTTGATGCTCTATTGTTAGGTACATACATATTAAGGATTATTATGTTCTCTTGGAGAATGGACCTCTTTGCCATTATGTAATGCCCCTTTTTATCCCTGATATATATTTTTTTTTGCTATGAAGTCTGCTCTGTCTGAAATTAGTATAGCTACTCTAGCTTTCTTTTGATTTATGTTGGCATGGTATGCCTTTCCTTTCTCTATCCCTTTACTTTTAACCTATCTGTGTCTTCATATTTAACGTGGATTTCTTGTAGATAGCATGTACTTGAATCCTTTTTTTTTTTTTTTTTATTTATGCCTACAGCACCTGGTCTTCCTAGGTGGTCTCCCATCCAAGTACTAACCAGGCCCGACCCTGCTTAGCTTCCGAGATCAGATATCAGGCTTGTTCAGGGTGGCATGGCCATAGACCATGGACCATGGCTCCACTGGGGCACGAACCCAGGACCTTCTGCGTGTAAAGCAGACGTGCTAACCACTGCACTATGGAACCACGTCCTGAATCTTGTTTTTTATTCACTCTGTCTTTTCATTGGTATGTTCAGACCATAGAAGTTTAAAGTGATTATTGATACAGTTGTATATCTATAATATCAACCATGTATGTTATTGTTGTCCATTCATTGCCTTTGTTCTTTTTGTTTGTTTGTTTTCCACTCTTTCTGCTTTGTCTGGTTTTAAGTGATTGCTTTTTTTGTATTTGGATAAGATTATATTTTTCCTCCTCTCTTAGCATGTCAGTTGAACTTCTATTTTTACTTTTTTAAGTGGTTGTCCTTGAGTTTGCAATTACACTTGCCACTAATCTAATTTTACTTTCAGATAACACTTTACCACTTCAGAGGTAGGGCAGAGTATTCTCAATTCTTCTCTCCTATTGTTTATAACATTGCTGTTATTCATTTCAATTATTCATAAGCTATAATCATTGCATCCACTGTTGCTATTATGATGTTGAGCAAATTGTACATATACATGATCTATATATAGGTTAATTAAGATTAAGAAAAATTAAAGATTTTATCTCCATATATTTCTTCTCTAATGCTTTTTTTTTCTTTTTGTAGATATGAGTTTATAACCTATATCGTTTTCCTCCTTTCTGAAGAACTTCTTTTAATACTTCTTGTAAGACAGGTCTACTGGTGACAAATTCCTTCAATTTTTGATTATCTGAGAAAATACTTTTCCCTCAGTTTTGAAGGTTAATTTCACCAAGTACAGAATTGTAGGTTTGTGGATTTTTTTTCTTTTAATACTGTAAATATTTCATTTTATTCTCTTTTTGCTTACATGGTTTCTGAAGATTAGTCCAATGTAATTCTTATTCTTGCTTCTCTATAGGTAAGATTCCACACCCCCCAGGTGCTTTCAAGATTTTCTGTTTGTCTGATTTTCTGCCATTTACATGCTTAGGTGTAGACTTTTTGGTATTATCCTGCTTGGTGTTTTCTGAGCTTCCTGGATCTGTGGTTTGGGGCCTATCATTTATTTTGGAAATCTCTCAGTCATTATCACTTCAAATATTTCTTCTCCTTTATCTTTCTCCTTCATCTAGAATTCCCTTTGCACATATATTAAATCTTTTGTAATTGTCCCACAATTCTTGGGTATTCTGTTATTTTTTCATTCTTTATTTCTTTTTGCATTTCAGTTTGGGAAGTTTTTGTTGACAGTTCTTCTAGCTCATTAATTATTTCCTTGGATGTGTTTAGTCTATTAATGAGACCTTCAAGGCATTGGTCATGTCTATGACAGTGTATTTTATTTCTAGCATTTTCTTTTGATTCTCTCTTAGAGGTTTCATTTCTCTGTTTCAGTGGCCCATCTGTTCTTGCATATAGTCCACTTTTTCCACTAGACTCTTTTGCATAGTAATCATAGTTATTTTGACCTCCCAATCTGATAATTCCAACATCTCTGCCATATCCAAGTCTGGTTCAAGTCTCTTTAAATTGCTTTAAGAGTTTAGTACACCTTCTAATTTTTTGTTGAATGATGGACATGATGTACTGGGTAAAAGGAACCGAGGGAAATAGGCATTTAGTATGAGGTTTTATGTTTACCTAGCTAGGAGTTAGGCAGTTTCTACTGTTTGCTATTGCCGTAGGTGTCAGAGGCTAAAATTTCCTCTAGTGTCCTGGTCGTTGTCTCCCCTGTAGTCTTTGGGATTCTCTCAGGAATTCTTCTTAATACGCTGTGAGCCGTACAGTTATTTTAGCTCATTCCCCCGTCGTTGTGTAGGAGCCCTTTTGATGTGGTGGTGAGTTAGGTGAGTAGGGAAGCATACGCGAGTCCTCTGATTAGGTCTCAGCCTTTTAGGTCAGTCTGTGCCCTTGACCATGACCTTCACAAATGTTTCTCAGTCTTCCCCTTCCTTTAAGACAGGAAAGCTAGAGGGAACTAGAGTTGGATATTTCCCTTCCCCCTGGTCAGTTAGGGTCTGAAAAAAAACAGTTTTTAGACTTTGGTAAAAGGGTAAAACTGCTTCTCCTGAGGCAGGCCTTTTTAAGAACAGGGTGCTTTGGGCATATTTCAAAATGGCTGCTTTTCCTCTCCTACTGGTGGAAGCATGAGCAGATTTTTCTATAGTTTTGATTGTAAGAACCTGGTGTCCTAGAGATAAAACTTACAAAAGTGTAGGAGCCCCCTAACACTGGGTTCCTCTGTAGTTTTTAACCCTGAGATGTGTCTTCACTGAGATTTCATCAGTCACACATTACATCTTCCTACTCCGGCACCTGTTCCCCTGGAGTTTCTGCTCGAGTGTTTCTGCTCTGGTAGGCTGTGATTTTTAGGAGCATCTGTCTGTCTCTCCAATTTGGGTGATAACAATTTTTTCTATGACTTAAATTCTCTGATGGAGTTAAAAAGAGTGGTTGATATTTCAGTTTGTTCAGGCTTTTTCTTCTTGGGAGATGGGAGCGGTATTTTATAAGCTCATTACATGCCAGACCAAAAATTGGAAGTCTGCAATATTTTTTAAATCACAGCTTTCAATTACAGCTTTTTTTTTTTTTCTGAATAAAATAATTGAATGGTTTTTGCCTATATCACATAATAGTTTCTGGTTACACTAGTAAAAAAGATTAAGTTTTGTACCATCAATATATTGATATTTTTGGTGGTTTCTCAGAAAATGAGATGCTACTCAATCACTATTCTAATTGTTACTTACCTATAATTCTTTATGCCCTGCCAAGCCAATAAAACACTCAGAATTCTCCACCAAACTATTTCTCTAATAACTTCCCTCTATCTGGCTACCAGTTCATAGATAATCACTGTAGCTTTCCAAGCCTTTTATCTCGGAGTCCTCTCTTATCTACTAATCTTATGTCAATTTTCAACAAGTTATTAGTGTTTGAGCATGAGTAATAATATATCTTACCTTAGTTTTCAGCAGTCTACCTCATTCTTAAAAGTCTTTTAGACAACCCCTTTAATTAAAGCCTTTCTATGAGCCTTAATCTCTTGGAGAAAAAAATTTGTCAGAGACCACACATTTCTGTGAAGAGGCTACTAACAGTCTCTCTACCACACACCTCCAGCCTTCTCTTGGTTTGTTAACTAATGTTTCCGTTGCTTTGTCTAAATATGTAATTACAGTACTTCAGGGAATGGATATAGAGCATAAGTCTTCCATGCTTTATATCATGTTGAATTGTTTAGTAATCAACAAATAAAAGCACTTTTTGGTATCTGTTTCTGCTTTTTATAGGAAGAACTCTCTGGAATGAAAAATAGGATACAAGTAGTTGTGCTTGACAATGAACGGCTTCTACAAGAGTTGAAATCTCAAAGACAAGAGGAAACAATGAGGGAACAAACACTTCTGGATGCATCTGTGAGCATTTTTTAAAAAATCCTAATGGTATTTTGGTGTGCATGTTCCCTCCTGCTCTTTCCTTCTGCCCCCTGTGCCCCCCCCCCACCACCCCCAGCCTTCTGAACTGCTTTATTCTCTCCTTGCAGTTTGGCAAAAGAACTCTGGTGGTATTCTTTGGGGCCTCAAAAATTAAAATTCACTGTAATGGAATGATCCTGACATGAAATGATGTAATGATGTTTGTTATCTACTTCGGTTTCCTCTCAAGCATACCATTTATGTTTTTTAACTATAGAAAGAGCAGATATGAAAGCAGGAAGTGTGTTACATAGTTAAATCCAGAAACTGTTCAGGACTGTAGCTTAGATGTCTGTTGTATTTCTCTAAATTTTCCTTACGCTCTGAATTCCAATTAAGTCTAATTAGCAGCATGGTGTAGCAGAAGGAACACTGTCTGAAGGTCCAAGAATCAAAATGTTCGTTTTCTCATTGTCCCTGCTAAGCTGGATGCTTTCAAACATGGGTTAACCTCATGGGCCCTCTGTCTGTTTACTGGCAGTTTGAAAAGACTCCCCTATATTAGCAGTTTTAATCTTTAATGTGAATAGCAATCACTTGGGATACTTGTTGACAGTGCAGATTCCAGGTCTGATTCCGTTGGTCTGGGTTGAGTCCTTGAGTTAAAAATATGAAATTTTAACAAGTTGCCTAAGTGGTTCTAATTTCAGGGACCACATTTTGAACAACAGCAGATTAAATGATCTTTATAATTCTTGTGATGATATTTAGTGTTTAAACTTAGTATCTCCTAATGATCTGTCAGAGATACTTTTGCCTTGAAAATGTTTTTCCCTCTTGGGATAGGGTGCAGTTAATCACAGCTCGCTCTGTTTTTTGAGACAAATTCAACTTTCAATGAGGAAGTTTCAATACTTGCCTGTTTCAGCTTTACTTTGCAAGGTATTTTGGTGGCCAGATGGAGTTATTATTAGTAAATCCGTTCTATTAAGAAAAAAATATGTGCCTTAATCTTTTACCTAGGTGTCCTCTCATTTTTGTTTTTGAAATTTTTTTTTATTTACCTGGCCTGATGTTTCGTTTGTAATCCCTGAGTTCTACGTGTTAGAATTTGCTATTTAGAAGTAGCCAATTGTATTAACTTTGAATAATGAGTGGGCTGATTAGTATTTCAACTGATTTTTCTTCAGTTACATTTCAGAATTACAGTTCATGATCAGCTACTTAATTTAATTTAAACTAATTAAATTACTGTTTGTGATTAGCTATTTTTCCTTTGCTATATGACTTTTTCTGAATATATTATTAATATTAGTTAAAAATTCCATCTTAGTTGTCTATGATTTTAATGTCAATTTGAAGATGCTACAGCCATCTTAGAAGTAGCTCATTTTTCAAATACTTATTTTCTTCTGCTTTTCTTCAAATATGTAGTCACTTAGCAGTGACTCAATTATTCATAGTCTTCAATATTTATACAATGGCAAAGATGTAGAAGAAGGGGAAGTAAAGTGAGAAAGGAAATTAGGCAGACAAATGAATCAGAGGCCAAGAGAAGTGAGTAATGCTAAAGGGGAAGGAAGTGAGGGAAGAAGCACATGAGCTTTGCCGTAAGAACAAAGGACACTCGCTGAAGAAAACCACAGCCATAGCTATAGAAAGAACAAAATCACAGGGAGCTTTTGTGTTTTTTTAAACATTCCCGGGAGCTAAAATACAATGCAAATATTGAACTATTGTTACACATGTGTCTGATGGCCTTGATATCTATTTTAATGTTAGTCGTCTTTGTTACTTTGTTACCGAATTGTCACCCCCGTTTTTTCACTTGTATAGGTGAATTGAGGCATTTCAGGAACCTATGCATGGTGCTGGATTGAGAGTTTTAATGTAAATGAAACTTATAGAATAACTTAAATAGGAACAGATCAAAAGATAGTATCTTTTTTTTCTGAACTCTTTTTAATGAGTCTGTTGCCATATTGATGGTAGATCTTGCTAAAGCTGTTTGCGGTTTGCATATAGATTTACAGTGTTTCTTAAGACCTTTCTTAAAAAAATAGCTTAAATAGTTATATAGTAATAATGAGCATTTGTGGATGACCTCATGGTTATGATGTTCCAGGCACTGTATCAAGCACTTTATTTACATTATATTGTTTCAATTTTATAGTAGCTGCACAAGGCACTGTTATTATATCTATTTTCAGATGAATAAATTAAGATTTAGAGTGGTTAAGTAACCAAAGCAACTGATCTGATGTCACAAAGGTAGAAAATGGCAAACATGGGACTGTCTGACCCTAAATTCATCCGCTGAGCCTCAAATATTACTGCCTTTCTGCATAAATTAGGAATAGCTTGTCAATATTGAACCAAACCATCTTTCTTTGCCCTGGGATAAAAGATTCCCCTCAGAAGGGAAGAGCCGTCTCTTCATTGTTTCTGAGTTTTAACCTTGGACTTGGGTGGTAGCCTACGTAACCTTTAGCTTTAAGACCTAGCACTTGAAGAAGCAAGCAGATTATTTTTAAAAAACTACAACATTTAAAGATGATTTCATTTCTCTCATTTTTCATCACTTTTTCTTACAGATTTTCTCTTCAAGAAGGGCTTTTTTCGAGAGTTCAAAAATTGTATTAGAATATGCTATTTATTAGAAACTTTGGCATGTATACTCACTCAAAGATCTAGGAGATTTTTTTTAAAAAGTAGCAAATTTCTGAGCCATGTTTTTCCATGTCTATTCTCGTCCCCTCCACTTAAGCATTCTCCCCAATTAAGAAATGAAAAGTTTTCAGTAATCTTCAGGGATGTAAATGTAATTAGATTTTTACAATCTTAGTGAACTACCATTCAACTTTTAAAAGCTATCTGTGAAAGAACAAAGTGTCAATTAGACCAGCCCTTCCTTTCAAAGAATAACAGTATTTTATATCATAAGTCAGCGATCTGAGGTCTACACGCTTTCTCCAGTTTCTCCATAGGGAAACAGTTCCCCCTCCTTCACTGCTCTCTAAGGCAGTTTTGAATGATCTTGGGAGATTTGTCCCTACCAACAGAGTCAAGTTCAAGCTTGTTAGGCCATACTTTCCAGACCCTCCCTTGACTCTCTGGCTACACCTTCCGACACCCATTTCTTGTGCTTCAACCTCTAGTAATGCTGAATTTCCTGAGTCCCCTGCAGGCACCAGCCTATTTCACACCTCTGGGACTTTTTCATGATGTCCTCTCTTTCTGGCATGCCCATCCCATCTAGCTTGCTCTTATTTATTCTTTAAGATATCACACCAGTGTCTGAGCGTCCCCAGAAAACCTTCCTTGAATCTCCTGTTTCTCTTACTGTCCCTCCTCTGTTATGGCATTGTCCCCCATACACACCTCTATTAAATTGAAATTATCTGCTTAGGTGTTTGTCTCCCTCATTAAACTCGTTGAGGGTATGATAGGTCTTGCTCATTTTACCCTCCAAGCTCTTAGCACAGTGCCCAGACATAGTAGGTGTTATACAGAAATGTTTGCATTAAACTGAGGTTCCAGAAGAATATGGAATAGAATCTCAGAACTCTACTTTGGATGAATGTAGTTTACCACATTCCAGCATGACGTTGAAGTATATAGTTGTGTGTTTGGGGCTCTTTCCTCTCTTTGAGTACTACTCGTAATCTTTGGCCCTTAGCAGTTCAATAATTATTTATTGAATTAAATGAACATAAATATTTTCGTTTTTGTTGCCCACATAAATTACCCAGGTCTTTGGGTTGATTATTTCATCAAATGTCGAAAGGGTGCCAGAGGTGGCCAGCGGACAGTGATTACAGCAAATTCCATCTGTAGGCCTGTTTTGTTTGTTTGACGAGCTTTAAATCAATATTCAATGATGTTTCAAAGGATGAGCCAGAAGTCTGGCTTATCCGTTTAAAAAAATCAAAGGGTTTTTGGTAATATGAGTTTGCATTCGTATTGACAGCCCCCGACTGGAAATGAGTAGTAGTTGCTTCTTTTGGACAGTTCGTCATGGTCCGCACTACTCCTTTGTGAACCCCTGACATGCAGGCAACATGTCAGTTCAGTCTGTCACCGTGGACTGTTTTTCTCATTGAAGGTGAACATTTTTCTGGAAAGGCAGAAGAGCATAGTGATTTCGGGTATATGGAGCCACATCGCCAGGCTTCAGATACTAGCTATGCCACTTATCAGCCACTTCCCACCTCTGTGACTCGTAGCAGGTTACTCTGTGTGACTGTTTCCTCATCCGCAAAATGGAGATCACAATGAAATTTACAGGGTTGTTCTAACGCTTAAATGAATTAATACACTGAAAGCACATAAACAGTGTCTGACACACAGCAAACACCATGTATGTTAACTCTTATTATTATTGTGAGACAAACACAAAGGGCTGTCTTTCAAGAGTATATATATTAGAGAAGTAAGAGATAAGTTCATTTGTTGAATACACTGGCATCTAGCCCTCTTTGCTCGTTTACATTAGTGCCTGAACCTGTAGGAATTTGACTTGTTGTGGAATATGACCCTAGCAGCCGGAAAACGTAAAACGATTCTTAATTTGTAGTTTAGAAGCATCTGCTTTTTTCATTCTTTCATCACAGATAAGAATCAGTTTTCCATTTGTAAAGCATGCATGTTGATTTAAGGTTAAATGTCAATTGCAATTACTGGCATGTTTTATTTTAGGGAAACAGACAGAATTCCTGGATTACAACAGGTGAAGTTTCCAGAGGGGAGGAAGCTGCCATGAGCTGCTTTTCCCATGGCAATGCAGATATTCTCAAAGCCGCATCTGCTGGTGAGGCTGAGAGATGGAAGCTAGAACTGGTGAGTGTTTGGATGCTTTTCTCTTATGCATGTATTTTTTTGGTACTTTTTTATTGTGGTAAATATACATAACATAAAATTTAGCACTGTGAACTTTTGAAAATTCACTACCTAACCATTTTAAGTGTACAACTCATTTGTATTAATTACATTCATAACATTGCACAACCATCAGCACTGTCCATTTCTAGAATTTTTTCATCATCCCAAACAAATCTCTGTTCCTGTTAAACAAATCTCTGTTCCTGTTAAACAATCTCCTCTTTCCCCAACCCCTAGTACCCTCTTCAACTTTCTGTCTCTATGAATTTGCCTGTTCTAGATACCTGACATAAGTAGAATCAAACAATATTTGTCTGTCATATTTCATTTAGCATAATGTTTTCGAGGTTTGCCATGTTGTAGCCTGTACTTCATTCTTTTATAAGGATGAGTACTATTCCATTGTACGCATATACCACACTTTATCCATTCATTTGTTGATGGACTTTAGGGTTGTTTCCACTTTTTGGCTCTTGTGAACAAGGCTGCTGTAAACACTGATGCACAAGTATCTCTTTGAGTCCCTACTTTTAATTTTTTCAGATATATACCTAGAAATAGAATTGTTAGATAATATGGTAATTCTTTATTCTTTTTTCTTTCTGCTCCTCAGACTCAATCATTTCAATTGTCCTATCTTCAAGTTCGCTGATTCTTTGTTCTTCTGCTCACATCTGCTCTTAATCTTTTTGGTGAATTTTTCATTTCGATCATTGTACTTTTCAGCTCCAGAATTTCTGTTTAGTTCCTTTTTATAATTGACTTTCCTGGTTTCTTTCAGCTCTTTGTCCATGTTTTCTCTTAGCTCTTCGAGCATATTTAAGATAGTTTTTTAAAGTTATTGTCTAGTAAGTCTGATGTCTATAGTTTCTTAGAAATGGTTTCTGTTGATTTATTCTGTTTCTTTGAGCCATGTTTTCTGTTGTAAATATATTTTCCCCATTCTGTGGCTGACATTCTCTCTTGATAGTTTTCTTTCTCCCTTTCCTTTCCTTCCTCTTCCTCCCCCTCCCTCCCCTCCCCTCCCCTCATTGTCTAAGTCCTCATTGCTGGGGTGGAGAAAAGCATATATATTTTTGTATTTTCACTGACTCCCACTTTCTTTGGATTAGTGTTAGCATGGTATATATTTTTATCCTTTTAACATATTTGTGTCTTCATATTTAATGGGGGTTTCTTGTGGATAACATATAGCTGAATTTTGCTTTTTCATCCAACCTAACAATATCCGCCTTTTAAATGTGATTATTTATACACTTGATTTTAAATCCACTGCGTTGCTATTTGGCTTCTTCCTTCCGCCCCTATTATTTTGTTCCCCTTTTCCTCTTTTTCTGCCTTCTTTTGAATAGTTGAATATTTTCATGATTCCATTTTTACCTCCCTTGAACAGTCTGAAAAAATCTCTAGTACCAACATTCACCTGGCTACCTGGCTGCTCAATTTAGAAATCCAGGATTCGTTTTAATGTCTTTTTCTCTGCCATATCTATTCAATCATAAAATTCTGTCGATTTTACTTTTATATAGCTCTATAGTAAATTCTTTTCCGTCCTTACCAGTTGACTACTCTTATTTATGTGCTTACTCTTACCTATTTATCTGCAATGACTTCTTTATTGGTCTGCCCTTTTCCATACTTCAGAGAACTTTAAGATTCAAATCTGATAAAAAGTTTTCAGAGTTCATCCAGTGCCTCTTCTGCATGGAGACTACATGAGTTATCTAAATAAAGGTCTTAATATTTTTATTCTTTCCACGGCCCAGTCTTACCTATTTAACCCATCTCTATCCACTTTCCACCTAGCATTTCACATCTCTAACTCTGTACCTTTTGCTCTATTAGATATTCTCCTTTAAGTCTTAGCACCTCCTCCATAAAGTTTTCTCTACTGCTCTGTGGTTGAATTACAAATTCCTGCCTCTCTGATTTCATTTTATCTTCTGTACATCTCTACCATAAATTATATGTAATTGAATGTTCATCTGTCTTTCTACTTCTTCCTAGAATCTAAGTTCCTTGAAGTTAGAGACATCTTCATCTTTGATAACTAATAAATATTTATCATAACTGGATACTAGCAGAGGGTTGTAGATGGCTTGGTCTATCATATGATTATAACTTAACTTCTCTTTTAGCATTCATCCAGTTGTATGTTATATACATATTTATTGTACGTATTTTTATTGTATGCCAAATATACAGCAGTCACAATCGGGGATTCTAGTAGGATTTGATCCTTGCCCTCACTGAAATTATAAGTTAAAATTGCTTTTTCCCAGCATCACACTTTTAAAAGTAGGACCTGACTTATGTAATTTCAAAAAAAAAAAATGTTTTTGTCAGTTATTGCCATTTTATGACTCAGTAGTTCTTTGCAGGTATTCATTCAGTAAATGTAGAAAAATTTGGGTGGACTAGGAAAAGTGTTTCCTGAGAGGACACATTCTTTCTTCTTGGGTAAAAAAGAAAAAAATATTCAATTTAATTTAAATGTGCTTATGAAACACAGAACATGGAGGAAATGTACTTTTTTTTTTTTTTCTTTTCTGAAGGAAAGGCTAAAACTTACTTATGGGGAAAAGAGTGAGATCCTGGAATCTCAAGTGAAGTCCTTGAGGTAAAGTATTATCATCCATTTAAAGTCATAGCAAAAGCATAATGACTTTAAAATATATCTGAATGTTTACTGAAATCCCACTTTTATCAATATAAGAAGTACTTGACATTTTATTTGCAATATAAGACATTTCCTCATGTTATTAAAGAATAAGGGGAGATAAAATTGTGAAGTCCTTTTCCAAATTTAATTTCAAAGAACTATGAACTAAATAATAAATTTTGTTTTTTCATTAGTTTTAAAATATTACTGTTGTGTAATAGAAATAAGACTCACAAGCTGCTCTTAGAAAAATTATACTTTTAAAATAGCGAAAATAAAGCACTCTAGTTTTCATATTACATGCAAGTGGTTTTTTCTTCATCTAATTTTCAAATTGCAACAATAATATAATTGAGCATTTTTGCATACATGATAAATTTGAGTATACATAATGAGTTTTCATGTACTTTTTGATGTTTTCAAAAATCTCAATAAAACCTATATATTATAGATTAATCGTTAGTGATTTATCATGTATTTGTTGTCCAGAAATTTAAGTGCGACCTTCTTTTTGAGCTAGAATGTTTTTTGTTTTAATACAAAAAGATACCAGGAATTATTTTTTTATGTTAAAGATTATTTTAAATAATAGTATTGAGATATTTTCAAATCAAGTAAACTTTAAAATAGTCTTTATAATTTTATTTTAATACGTCCCATTTGAATAAAATTTAAAATCTTCAGGCCACGTATTGTTTAGAGACATAACTAGAGTTATACTAAGAACCAGAACTCATGGCTTTCATTGCACATGTTATTATTCACTGATTTTAATACGCTCTTATGCTTTTCATACTTTATCTTTATTCATTTTAGGATTTCTATAGAGATTTTTACTTTTTCATGAAGAAACCTAATGTTTAAAAATGCTGTAATTTTGCTTTCTTACTTTTTATCTTTGTAATATTTTGATATTGTGGTTCGATTCTTTATTTTCAAAGTAACATATTTCTAGCTCATTATATTTATGGTAATGCGATTTATTTTGTCTTGGAATTCAAATATGCCATCTTTAATTACATTAAAACACTGCCTTAAAATGAACTAGACTTTGCTCTCTGTATCCTTCTGCTTCTTTCTCTTCTTTTAGTGTAATTTAAGACTATTGAAAGAGGCATTTTCTTAAAGAAATAAAATCACTATTCTGAAACTCTGGCTTTATGGTAACTATTTCTTTTTTTTTTCTTTTTGCCATTTCAAGACACCAAGGCTACTTGAGTGTTTTGAACTTGCACCTGACAGAAATAGTCATGGAGACCTTGGGCTTTGGAATGTGCTTCCAGAGTTCTTTTTACAAAGCCTGTGAAAGTCAGACGTTTTCTACGTGATACTTAAAAAGAAAATTTATTATGTCAGAGATATTATCTTGGAAATAGGGCAGAAACAGCTCGATTTTTTTCAACTTCAAACTATCATTAAGTCAGCTTTTTTTTTTTTACAGTGACATTGATTAATGCAATCTAGTAAGTTTCAAGTGTACAATTCAACAGTAAGGCATACATATATTGCATTGTGTGTTCACAGCCTATAGTTAGATTTCTTTCTGTCACCACATATTTGACCCCTTTTTTTAACCTTTCGCTTGCCCGTGGATCTTTCCCACCTCCCCCAGGCTGCCTGGAAGCTCCTCGGACCCCAGAAGTTGAGGTAGCGTGTGCTAGTGGGCGACTCATTGCTGGCTTCTCTTCTGTGACAGTGAGCAAGTCAGGACAGCTCTGTGTTCCCGAGTATAACAGAAACTGACAACAGAGAGTAGACTGAGCCAGAGATAAGTGCCTGCCTGCAATTCAGTAGTCCAAGATCTTAAGGGCAACTTTCTCCCTTTTGAGCAACTTTTTATACAGTAGAAAAGGGATGCCTACGCAAGGAAGCTCAGTTGCCCAAGATGACTTTTACCAAAACTTGGAGAAAAACCTCATTCAATGACTATGCCATAAAGTAAAAACAAACACACACGCGTGTGCACGTGCGCACATACACACACACACACACAATCTCAGCCCTTTTTTTTAGCAAGCTGCATATTTCTAACTAATGGCTACTACCTAGGAAATCTTGACTCTGGTGAGTTCCACATAACTTCTTTCTGTAGCCTGCTGTTTTTTAGAGCAGCTCTTTTAGAAATTCATGGTCTGACAACTTTTTAATGTTTTTTCCTCTTGAAGAAAAATGAGCAATAATAAATTAGTCATGGGTAAAATCCATGTCCTTTAGGTGATCCTTTAAGGTACTCTTTATAAATTTAAGAGTTAACACTTGAAATTGGGTATTTCCTTCAATTCGAGGTTGTTGTGCTATGCACCCCTCCCCTTTATTAAGGGAAGTGAGAATTCGCAATTGGAATTTTAGTTTTGTTCTGCAGATAATGTAATGTCAGGGAGATGGGATCCTGTGAAAAGAGAGCCAATATTTTACAAGAACCTGGGCTTATTATTTAATATATTCAAGTCTCATTTTATTCAGTGTCAATTAGGATAATCACACAGTTCAGAGTCGTGAAAAGAATTAATAAGGTATTGTGTGGAAAGCATCTCATAAGGTAAATAACATAAATAATAGTAGTAGTTATCACACTGATGATCCATTGAGAAGCAGAGTACTTTCACCTGGCCATTTACTGGAACTTTCCCCCCCTTTCTTTTTAGGAAAGAATTAGCTGAATATCAGAAAAATTGTGAAGATCTTAAAGAGCGACTCAGGCACAAAGAGTCACTTCTTGCCACGAATATTTCTAACCGCGTTGGTGGTCTTTGTTTGAAATGTGCTCAGCATGAAGCTGTTCTTTCCCAAACCCACAGTAACGTTCACATACAGACCATCGAGAGACTGACTAAGTAAGTACATGCCTACATCTTTGGGGACATGGAAATTACTTTTAAAGGGACTTTGTGTTCTTTTATCCCCAGGCTAAATTACATGTGATTAATGGGAAGCTTCAAATAAAATGGATTTTAAAAGGTTCCTTCATGTAGTTTTGTCGAAGACAGAATAGGCAAGTTCTACCAACTGTGGGTAACATGCCACTTTGGACAAGTAATTTTCTCTCTCTTGGTTTCAGTCTCGAAGTGAGAAAAGTAAAGTGTATAATCTTTACACTCCTGCTCATTTCTATGGCTTTGTAATTGTAAATCTAGCACTGTGCTTAACAAAACTGAGTTCTAGAGGAATCCTTTAGGTTTT